GGAATTAGGACCCTCTGGTGTGACCGATATTGGTTACTGGTGTACCCAGAAGATGTCGATATTGTATCCAGAAATGGTCATAAAATCCCGGCGCCCGACGCTCCAGCATAAATCCGCTTAAAAACCGTGTACCGCACATACATACCGTGTACCGCACATACATAACCACAACCAAACNTGGTGTACCCAGAAGATGTCGATATTGTATCCAGAAATGGTCATAAAATCCCGGCGCCCGACGCTCCAGCATAAATCCGCTTAAAAACCGTGTACCGCACATACATACCGTGTACCGCACATACATAACCACAACCAAACCACCAACAACGCTCGCTCGTTCATCGTTCATTGGCATCGCCTCCATAGGACACCGGCCCTTCTCAACAGAGGGTTGGACTCGCTGCGCGAGTACTGTGGTGTGGTACTGATCAATAAAAGCACAGAGAGAGAGGGAGGCACAGAGAGAGAGGTACAGAGAGAGAGAAAAACGGGCATGACCTGCCTCGTGCATCATGCTTCCGAGGCACAGGACACAGGACACCGAAAGCGGCTTATTGGCTTCGCGGCGATCTACGGCAGATGCTATCGGAGATTGGTGTCGTGCTGACTTCCAAGTGTACCCTGAAATGGTGATAATCCACCCGGGTATACCCGTTTCTGATTACTTCTTCCTACAAACGGCAATCTTACCTGTCTGCGTAACACCAAATCATCCAGCACATGTATCCAACACCAATGTTCGCAGACCCACGAACCCTGGCTCTTCACGCAAGTGACTAACCATCAATGGGGCAAGAACGCCCCTGGATACATCAGAAAATACCAACATGGTAATACATGGAGGGGAAACCCGGCGTCCGGGCAAAACCCCTCAAAAAGAAAACTACCACCACAAAAACCGTCGCTATCACAGCGGATCACAACGGCCGCACTTACAAGAAAGGCCAAGGCGAAGACAAGAACGCGAGGAGCTACGTTCCCCGGACGATGGTCTCCCAACGCCCCCTGCTCCTGCCGTTGGTACCTGACCGCAACAGTTATGCGCCTTTCCCCGCATGGAAAACGTGACCTCTCCCAAGTGCTAGAAACTGCTACAGCTACTCCGACAAACTCATCAACTTGCACCGGTGGTACAGTAACTGCAGACTAGCCCTGCTAAGGGCCTTGGTTAGGAGGTCCGCGTGTTGCTCCGTTGTGGGAACGAACTTGACCGAAAAATTCCCCCGACCTAAACAATCCGCGGATGAGATGAAATCTCACGTTGATGTGTTTCGTGCGCCCTGAGCTGAGGGGGTTCTGCACCAACGCTATGGCCCCCTGGTTGTCCTCAAGGACCTGGATGCTGCTACCACTGGTCTCTGGGGCAGCAAACGAAAGCACAGCACGCACAAGTAACGCCTCCTTGACGCCCTCCCCGGCAGCAATGTACTCGGCTTCCGTCGAAGACAAAGACAAGTTGCTCTGTGTCTTGCTACCATGGCTGACTACGGTTTTTCCAACCGTCGTCGCGAACCCTGACACCGAACGCTTATCTTCCGTGTCGGCGTAGCTAGCGTCTACGTACACGGCCAGCCCTAACCCCGATCCCCGTTAGTAGGTGATGCCGAGGTCCCTCGTCCCTAGTAGCCGAGGATCTTCTGGATGGCATCCCAGTGCCTCCTCGCTGGGGCGTGGGCGTGGCGCGCTACCGCACGCACGGCGAGCGAGACGTCTGGACGCGAGAACGTCGACACCCACATCATGCTGCCGATGGCCTCCTTCACCGGCCACTCCCCTCCCTTCATGTCATCTCGCTTCGGTCCTAGGTCGACACCAGGGGAAGCAGGAATGCGGGAGGCCGATTGTACATCAAAGCGTTTCACCATGCTATCAATGTACGCGGCGTGGGAGATTCTAAGAGTTCCAGCCTCAAAATCTCTCTCAATAGCGCACCCGTCAAACCATTCGCATTCTCCAAGATTTTTGGTGGGAAATTTCTTGTTGAGAGAAGCAAGCAACTCCTCGCAATCCTCGTCAGACCCAGCCACCAAAATGTCATCCACGTAGATCACGACAATCATCACCACGACTCCATCTACCATCTTGCGGAAAACACACGGGTCCGCCTTGCACGGCTCGAACCCGTTCTCGACTAGCGTATCAGCAGCGTGGTACCCCCACTGCCTACCGCTCTGCTTCAGACCGTAAATCGCACGCTCAGCCTGAACAATCTAATGCGATTTGTCCCCGCACCCAGCGGGGAGCCTCAGAAAAAAACCCTCGTCTAGCGTGGCGTGTGTGTACGCCTGGTTTACATCCCAGTGATTGAGGGTTATGCCCTTCTCGTTTGCTACCGCAAGCATCAGTTTAATGGATGCGGATGATGGGCAGCATGCACCTTGTGGTAGAGAGCTAAGGAAGCAGACATCAGACCACAGGCAGTCTGTTGTCTGATGTCTGCTTCCTTAGCTCTCCACCCGTACAAGGTGCTCTGGGGGGGCAGGTTCGGTTCAAGAGAGGTTTAGGAGAGGTTTAAGAGATTCGGGGTTCGGTTTAAAAGAGGGGTGTGTCTAGCAATTTTGACGGCAATTCTCTCTTAAACCGTAGCCCCCACTGTAATGATATGCTTGTAGGACTTGAAGTCTCTATCCTAGGGTTTCCCCCCGGGATATCCTGTAAGGTCGTTGATTATCCGGTCCAGTTTGTCCTATAGCGAATTCCCTGTGAGCTAAGTTGCTGTAGGAAGGATCCTGTCCAGAGTCGGGCCGCATCGTGTCGGTTCGACCCGGTGCGAACCCCGTTTTCGTAGAAAACAAAAAAAAAATGACTCTTATCTATGATAGGGATGGACTCGTTGTGTCATATTAAGAAAAATAAAAAAAGATAGAGATGGATTTGTTGTGTGATATTAAGAAAATAAGAAAATAATAAATAATTATCGGGAAATTCGCTGGAATCCCGTTTTGAAGCGCGCGCGGCGTTGTGAGCGTGTCACCGCCGAGGTTGTGTTTTTGTTGAGAAGCAGCTCGCTGTAGCAGGGCTCTTATAGCCATGGCGCGACAAGCACGATGGAGGATGGCAGCCGGGCGGTACGCGGAGTGCAAAAAACTCGCCGCAAACAATCGTGCGCTAGTGAGTGAGGAAGACCTATTTCTCGCGCTTGGGATGTACAGCCTGCTGCGGGTTTGGAAGATGTACGAGCGCGCCATGTGGGAAAGCCTAGCGTGCCACACTCCACCACACTTCAAAACAAATCTCCTCCGACGCTTTTAGCAACGAAATCTACTCCTCCTTTGGTCTTGGCCTCCTGCAGATTTGCCTTTGTGGTGTGCTGTTGGAACTGGTGTCGGTTCGTCCTCCTGCTACCTTCATCCTACAGGTTTTGAGAGCCAAAATAATCCTGTCCCCAAACAAGAAGTTCCGGTGCCCATTTTCCGGTAACAAGTGCGGCGTAATCGCCTTAACCGGAAAAACACACCGCTACCGGACAAACGGCCGCCTACCGGAAGTTCCTACCCTATATGGCAACCCCTCCATTGTTTGTGCTGGTGTGTTAGAACGTTGCACGTCTGTCCTTACGCGTCCATCCGATGCAGGTTATGACCAACAACGCAGGACTCCTACTCGTGCGTTCTCAAGCTCCTCTCGACGCAATCGGTGTTTCACGGCTGTGCGGCTAATGTCGGTAGTATAGCACCTGAAATTGACGAGGTGTGGCGTTGGGAGGGTTGGACAGCTCTTGATGAGCAAGTCGAAGATGGTGTGGTCGACGCGGACGGCAATATCGTTGTCGTGGGGACACAAGGCCACGCGACCGAAGAAGACTATCTCAATGACACTGTCGAAGATTAGTTGTCCGGAGATTTCGCGGCCGTCAAGTTGGACTGACTCGTCTTTGGGGAGCGAAGCGGACGTTTTCTTCGCAGCGGCCACCGACAGCAATAACGGCATAATCTTGGGGGGTAGGACGGAGGGATACTGGTCATCATCCACCCCCGAGCGTTTTTTCCCGCATATGGCCGTCGTGAAGCTTGATGGGAGCACGGGGGATGAGATATCAGGAACACGCTCCGGAGTCTTCCACAACGTGGGGGCTGAGCAATTCCTGTTTGGGCAGTGTGTCTGGTGTGGCCGTCGACGGCGAAGACAACTGCTTCTTGTTCGGGGCAAACTTCTGGCTGCCTTGTCTACGGAGAGGGCGACGCAGGAGATTGTGACTTCTTCGCGACCAAGCTAGACGGGACAGACGGAAGCGAGATCTGGACGACGCAGGGCGGAGCGTCGACAAGCTTTGATAGTTTTCGCGAGGTAGTGGTGGAGTCGACCGGAGATCTGGTCGCCGTCGGCATAAGCGGAGACGTATACGCAATCAGCATCTTCGTCGTGAAGCTCAGCGGCATCGACGGAATCGTTCTCTGGGAGTATTCTCCGGTCACATCGCTCACCCATGACGTGCCGCACTCCGTGGACGTTGACGCCCAGGACGATGTTAATGTGGTGGGCGTCTACGATGCCCTGAATCTGCAGGGCAGTACAGCCGAAACTCCGGTGGTGCTGAAGCTAGACGGGGCGACAGGCGATGTCGGGTGGACCTACGAGGGCATGGCCACATCGGGTGACGGCTTCTACGACTTGGCTGTGGATCTCACAACGGGGTGGGTTGTGGGTGCTGGCTGGACGGAAGGGACCTGGGTAACGGGTGCAGCTCAAGGCGGCTATGACGTTGCTGCGGTGCTGCTAGATGGGGTCACGGGAAACGAATTAGGACGCTACCAGAATGGTACCACCGATGACGACTACCTTGCGTTCGCTGGATTTGATTCTGCCGGTGGGTTTTCACGGGGGGATCCTGGACGGATGCCAGCCAAGATGAGTTCGTCGAGATCAAGTTCGAATCTTTTGAGGATGGGGCACCTACCCCGGCCCATTGGACCCTACTGTCGCCCCAATGCCCGTGCCAACAACCGCTCCAAAGGCCATCGTCTTGGCTCCCATTACGACTGCTTCCCCTCTAGCCCCGTCGGCCGGCGTTGGATATCCTACACAAGCTCCGGTCGGTCGTGGTGACTTGCCGACTCCGGCTCCGACAACAGCGGCGGCCGCGGCAGCAGCGCTCTCCGAGGGGGAGATCGGGGCCGTCGCACGCGGGGGGGGGGGGGCCTCCTTAAACTCCTCGGACTCTGTGAGTGCCAGGCTGTTGGAGGTCGTCGTTTGGAGGTTTCGTTTACAAACGGGAAGATTGCGTTGATCCGTTTTGCTCTGGAAGATTTTTCCTTGTCTTCCTCCGGAGATGGTCGGCGAATTTTCCGCGTTCTCTTTGTGCTTTGGTGGTGGGCGGGGAATCGCCAGGGAGGTTGAAGAACAACTCCAGAGGAGACCATCCTCAAGGGGAAGGCTGAAAAATTGACTTTCACATCCCCAGCATGTATGCTAGGCCATCACCCACCGCGGCACTATTTTCTATACCTTTGATGGAGGGTCTCCGTGACGGCTACGAGAAGTGTTTCCTAGGAAAACATGATTAGCTTTCCCCAAACAGTCGCCTCCGACTTAATCAACACGTCGCGCCCTCCCCGAAAAAGATTTTGCCCCGCCACGAGCGTATTACCAGACCTGGGGATTGCTTTTGTGGTGGAATCACGACCCTTCACGACTGCCGCAGATTGTGACCGAAAGTGAAAAATACACGGTCGGCCCTTTGATCCGGGGTGGAGCACAGGTTGACTACCGCGTGAAAGACCGCTTCGATCATTTTTGTTTTCGGCATGCATCCTCACCGTACCCCAGGCCTTTCCTGCATCCGACGCAAGCGCCCCCAAGGTCAGCAAGGAGCAGTCACAGGTAAGGGCGCCGAAGTAGCCCGTGGTCGTACGGCCTTGGTGTCCGTTAACCGTTTTCCCGGAGTCGGAGCAGCACACTCATTGACACGGGGTTCGGCTGTCTGAAATACCAGCACAGGTTTGTTGTTTGTTGGATTTTCCGGAGGCGACATTTTATTTTTGTTTCCACTACAGAACCGGCCCGCACTCAAGAACTTGGTAGTCAAATGTTAAGAAATTGAGCCTCAATATTTCCGAAATACAAGCAGTTGCCCATTAGAACACGTGCTCCATCAAGCATCCTACACTATAACATATAAAGGCACATGAAAACCTATATCATCGCCGTGGGGGTACAGTACCCCATACAATTGTAGAAAATATATGGAACGAGCCTCGGTCAAAACAAGAGCGTCTCAAGTGCGGGCCCTTACTGTAAGTCTGGAAAGTGATTGATTCACAGGCAAAGAACGAGGGGGCGACACCGGTGGCTCGCCTCTACAATCCGAGTTTCCCTTCCACGTCACTTGGCCGAGTCTATCAGCTGTCGTCTCAGAATACCGGGACCCCTGAATATTTCGCCCACATCGCCCGTGCGATGCTTCCTACACACGACACCCTGTATGTCAAGCTATCGATTGATCTCAGCGGGTTCATCGCGGCCTCCTCCAGTGAAAGATTCTTCAGCCTCCACTGCCGGTCAAGGGTATGGACGTCTGCGAGTGTTCCACTCGTGAAGCGTTGCGTTGTGTTGTCGTGCGGGAAACGCCTTGTTTAACCCCCGGAACTTGCCGCCAACCCAGCTGAAACACCATGGCAACGACTAGGTGCGTTTTGCAGCCAAGATTTTGACGAGCACAGTTAAACGCCGCTTACCGTCCAGAGTCCGACATTTGTTCGCGTCCACGGCATATCCGGAAGGCTTCAGACATTTAGAACGCCCACAAGGTTGTCTGTGTGCCCCCATTGAACATTCTCGGGGTGTTTGATGGCCAATGTTCGCCCAGACCGTGTTCCGTCGAGGTCTCGTGATTCTGAATTCACAACCGACCCGTGAACAGGTGAAGAGGCGCGGGAAAATGGCACTGCCACACATTGAAGTGTACGATGGTGAAGGCACGATGCGGTAATGTTTTTTCCGCGCTACTTCACCCTCCTCACAGCGAACACGATGCTTTTTTTGCCTCTTCGCCGTCTATGATCCTGCGCAGCCAATCGCATGGTCCGCGTCCCTAGCAAGAAAACGTTCGAACAGAACTACCGAGTATATCGGTCAGCCACTACGCTCCGTACGCGTCGTCAACAACCAATCATTCGTTGAGATGAGGTACTGCGGTATGCTCGCTCGTGGGGGGCTTTGCTGTGCACTATCCGGCTGCTGTTCCCCGTGCAGTGTTGAGAAATGATAAAGCTCGGTATCGGTTGGGCTCATGAGAAACTGAAATACTGCTCCATTAGCTTTCTTTGTCGCAGGCGAAGGTCGAGCACGTGACCGTTTAATTGGAGTTTGTAGTGTTGTGTTCGACTGCAAGGCTCGATTGTTCCTTATTTCGCTGGTAGCGTTTCTGTCTGATTCCTCTCGACTACATTATTGGAAGTTCACTATGCTTTGCAAAGCGGCTTGAGTAACGCCATAATCCTGGCTACAAGCGGGATCTGCAGGGAGCGAACCCAACGATCTCAAATGATTTGTGAACCAAGCAATCCCGTCGTGCTTGTACGTGACAGCGAGTCACAGGAGGGAGGTACGATGGCCATCCCAGAAGCAGCTCAAACTCCGAGAGCGGCGTCGAAGGTCTCAAAAAACGTTACTTTTTTGGGATGTAGTGTATGCCGCCTTATATGCAGAAAATTCCAACCACGTACATCATGTTATACTTTCGTAGACGTACGCACGTGGGTATCCACGGAGGTGTTCGCCCACGGTGTCCATGGACTATCACGGTGTGCACGTTAGAGTTTACTGACACGTGACCCACGTTGGTGGATGCATGCGCGAGGTCATCAAAGCTTGAATCGTGGTCCTTTGAATCGTGGTCGCCTTTGAGTATTGTCAACTTGGTGCAGATCACCAACGGCACGCCTACTTTGTACTAGTTTACATGTTGGTGGTGCGCGAGCAGCACCAGTTAGTTGTTCGCTTCACGGATTGGGCGTCGGACTTCCGCCCCTCGGATGCCTTGAACAAACTTCCGATTTACACCCCCCGGCATTGGGTTTGTGTTCGTAGTTCTGAATCCACCATTCGTCGAGGTGTTCGGTCAGGTAATGACGACGAGCTCCATGGGCGAAAGTGTACATTTGCTCTGAACCGGTTCGTTTCTTTTGTGTTGCCTGTCGGCCCCTGTGGGCAAGCCCCCCTTGATGGCAGTAGTCCCCTGGTGGCGAACTTGCTCGACTGTCACTTGGACCTTCCGTCGGGCCTGCCTGGCTAAGACTCGGTACAACATGTCTCGGTTTCGCGTTGCTAACCTTGTCTCAACGCGCAGTACTTCGATGACCTGCCCAGGTTTCTAACCGCCGGTCTCACTCTGAATACGTTTCAAACAACTCTACGCGACCGGTTCGCCCGATCAATAATGTCAGACAATCGGCGATTGTTTATCGTGTGATGCGCATGGGTGCAGTGGTGCGAGGGTTGGCCCGGGCTAAAGGCGTGACATAGTTGCCTTCGGACCATTCTCTTGCTCTCGAATCCTCTGCGAATCCGTGGTGTCCTCAAGTTCACGTTGATGGAGCTCTCCCCACGCGCATTCTTCGCAAGAGGTCATGTCCCGGGTGTCGCTTTCGCGGAGGATTCGTTGGTCCCTCCTCCGGTACGAGCTGGCTAGCTAGGGACGGAGTGCTCGGTAGTGTTATGTCTGCGTTTATTTTCGTGTTATTGTCATTTTGAGACGTGTCTTCTGTAGTCGAGGGCCTGCTTTTGTTGACCGTATTCCGGTCCAACCAAATCCTCAAACTTTCAAACCCCACAAGGAGATCTCCGGGGTTGTTGTTGTTGTTGTCTTCACATTAAACCGTATGTCAGTTGCTAAAAAGCTAAAATCTAGCAAAGACTCTCAGCCCGTGGTCACGAAAGTGCTAGAGCCATCTGAGGATCTAAAGAACACGCACACATATAACGAGAAAAAGGTATCCAAGAGCCCCAAGAGGTACACCTAAAAATCCCTGCAGCACCGTATGCGTGCCCAAAAACTGAACTGCACGTCCGTCCCACCGTTCGACTACAGCAGTAGCATCACCCCCTCCCTGTCCCACTCTATACCAAAACGGAATATTGCCGACTACAGCATACTGCTGTCTGAAATGCTGTCTGTACAAAAATGCCATCATGGTAGGCATGGAACAAGCAGCTGGCGGGGCACAAAGCTGCTGTC